TGCCAAACCTTGTCATCTTGAAGGTGAAGTCGATGAAGGGAGCGGACTCTCTTCGGGTGTTGGTGGACTTGGGCGCGTCGAACAACTTTGTTCGACAGCAAAGTCTACCGTTGTTGGACTTTGAGGAGAAGGATGTACCTCGAAGTCAGTTGAAAGTACGATTGGCAACGGGTGCCATCGTAAAGACCGAGAAGCGCGTTATTCACGCACGCTTCTCGTACAAACACCGGGCGTTTGTGGAAGAACTTCTCGTCTTGGACTTGGACGACAAGTTCGACATGGTGTTGGGCATGCCGTGGCTTGCACTATTATTGACTGGGAGAAGCGTACGGTCGTACGCTTCGGACGCCGCGGCGCAACAGAGAGCGATGGCCCTGTTAGCGCAGCCGATACACCTAACGGTGCATCCGAACCTCCTTCAGAGATAGTGGCTCCCGCCCCTCCAGTCGTAGCGCGTGGAGCGCGCGAGCTGTAACGACTCCAGGAGTCGTTAACACAAAAGGAGTGTCTGGTTAGGGACCAGACATAACGAAGAAATTATCCGCCGTAAGGCGTCGACGTGACAACAGCGTGTCGACTCCGTGAGTTGACACGCACTCGATATCAGAATCGAGAAAGTTCTCCGCCATGAGGCGTCGAGGTGACAACGGTGTGTCAACTCTAGAAGTTGCGACACACTGCTCCGCCGTAAGGCGTAGAGGTGACGACAACGCATCGACTCCCGGAGTCGATGCAACAAGCTGTGTGGACGGTTGCAAACGTCTAGCACTAAAGCTTGCGTGCTATCGTGCAGCCGGGCTGAGCGAAGGAGGGTGCATCGAGCTGGGCTTGATGACGTGTACAAGAACCTGCCGGCGGTATCAAGGAACATCCGTCCATGGCCGGGCCTGGACGAATTCACAAGAAGAAGCGACGGCGCAAGTACAAGACGCTGCGCAAGTCTCGGTCCGGGACCGGGACTCTCCAAGGTATGTCAGCTGGGCAGACACAAGAGCCGACAGTGGCCGTCGAGACGTTGAACGTCTTGGCGCGGGCCTGTGCTGGGTACCAGTACAAGAAGATGGAGTTGGAGAACCCTCCGACTGATACGTCGGAGTTGACCTCGCTTCCAGGCATAAGCTGGAAGCGCTTCGCAAAAGACCTGTAAGATGGACGCATCGAACATCTAGGCATTCTTTCGGACCGAGAAAGAATGACAAGCGAAGCAGAAGAGTTGAGACAACTCTTCGCTGTAAGCGCCACTGAGCGTGAAGATACTCTCAGTGCCAAGGCGAAGAAGTAACGCTTCGAGGAGCAGAGTTGGGACTCACTGAAGTCGAGTCCCTATTACGAGATTCTGCGAGAGCACAGAGACGTGCTCCCGGACGAGATCCCTGCGGATCTTCCGCAGGACAAGGGAACACAGCACGAGATTGATCTCGTGTCGGGAACGAAGTTATGCCTGACGCGGCAGTGGCCACTGCTGCGGGAGCAAGTGAAGACAATCGACGACTTCTTCGAAAGTCGTCGGAAGGCAGGACAAGTGTCTGAAAATCAAAGTCCCCGCACGGTGCACCAACGTTCTGTGTCAAGAAGCCACAGGGTGGTTGGCGCATCGTTCATGCGTATAATAAGCTGAACGATGCGACGATACCGACACAGGCGCCGATACCTCGAAAAGATGTCATCATCGATTCGATGTCCAAGAGCACCATCTACAGTGCTCTTGATAGACGGGTTCTATCAGATCCTGATGCGTGAGAGCGATATCCCTCTCACGGCGGTAAGCACCCCAAGCGGTATGCTTTGGGAGTGGCTAATTATGCCGCAAGGACTGAAGAACGCCCCTGCAACCTTCAATAGATACGTCACGCATCTATTGCGCTCAGTGCGCGACTTCGCACCGAGCTACTTGGACGATGTGTACGTTCACAGCTGAGCTGTGAACGAGAAGACGGACGTCGAGATGCACAAGGAGCATCTCCGGGAACTGCTTGGGCTCATGCGCAAGTACAAGCTCTATGCGAACCTGACGAAGTGTATCTTCGGTGCGAGCGAGATACCCGTGCTAGGGTGTCTCGTTGGAAAGAATGGCGTACGCCCTGACCCCGAGAAGGTCAGAGTGAT